GCAGTGTGGCCATCCCCCCTAGAGCGTGATTTCTCGCTTTCTGTCTCTCTGTCTCTGTCTTTCTGGAGAGTGCACGTGCCCTATAGCAAAAAATAAAAAAAATTAAAAAAAATTAAAAAATAATAATATATATATATATAGCTGGCCTAGAAGGATTCCTTGTGAATTCTACCAAGCATTTAAGGGAGAAATTATACCAAATTCTCTACAATTTCTTCTAGAAGATAGTTGTAGAGGGACTACTTCCTAACTTATTCTATAAGGCCAGAAACAAACTTGCTTTATTATTATTATGCTAATAGCAAAACCCAATGAAACCATCACAAGATAACGACAGACCAGCATCTCTCATAAACAGAATAATATCTTCCACCAAATAGTAGCAAATTCAGTTTAACAATGTGAAAAGATCCGTCAGGAGGGAGGGAGAGCTGAACAGGTGGAACGAGGGATTTTGAGGACAGCGAAACTACTCTGTGTGCTACTGAAAGGGTGGGTACACGTCATTATATCACTATACCTTTGTCCAGACCCATAGAAAGTACACCACCGAGAGTGAACCCTGATGTAACTATGGACTTTGCGCGATAATGACTTGACAGTGTAGGTTCACTGGTTTTAACAAACGACCCCTCTGGTGCCGGATGTTGATAACAAGAGAGTCTGTGCATGGTGGGGGCAGGGACTATGTGAGAGCTCTCATACCTTCTGCCTGACACTGCTGAGAACCTAACAGTGCTTTAAAAACAAAGTCTACTGGGTCAGCATGGTGTGGAGGTTAAGACAGCTGGATCCCACATAGCTGATTCTATCGTTCAAGTCCCAGATCTGGAGGTTTGAAAACCACACCAGGAGTATGTGCATGTATGCCCAAAATCCTGAGAGGAGACTGGAGGAAAAGAGATTGTAGTGTGGCCATTCCATCTGGGAGAGGATCTCTCTCTCTTTCTCTGGCAAGTGCACACACCCTATAGTAAACTAAAATAAATAAAAATTAAAAAGTTAAGGCCTTCTTATTTAAAGTAATAAACAGACAGAGCCTCAATTAGGGGACCACCGGGTGTTGTATCCAACAAACAGGATTTAATTGTGTTTACAATAAAACATACAAATATGAAAATTCTTCTAAAAATTTTATTAAAATAATTATTTTATTATTATTATTATATATAACTCAGGCTGGCCTCAGATTTGCAGTCCTCCTGCTTCAACCTCCCAAGTAGCTGAGACGACCACCACGTGGAGCCTCAATAACTGTATAAGAGCAAGCCCTGGCAGATGCTGGACAGCAGTGTGCAGTGCCACAGGGTTAGGAAAAACCACCTGGCTCTAAAGGAACTAGGATGATCCAGATGATCCATAGACCTGGATCATATGGATCATCTGGATCATCTGGATCATCCTAGTTTGTTGGATACAAAACCCGGTGGTCCCCTAATTGAGGCTCTGTCTGTTTATTACTTTAAATAAGAAGGCCTTAACTTTTTAATTTTTATTTATTTTAGTTTACTATAGGGTGTGTGCACTTGCTCTTCCTTCTAATCAGGAGCCCCCGCCAATCAGTGATGCCCGTGCCTGGCCTGAATCTATGACTTCCTCCTCCCTGGTGAGCTCCCTGTCCCCAGGCTCCACCCTCCTCTTTCCATGTTCCTATCATGCTAGGAACCTCCACTGATGGCCTGGTGTGGACACCAGCTGCTCAGTCTCCAGTTCTCCCAGGAGGTCAAGGAATGTGTGGTTTGGCTCAGGTTCCTGGGACAGGGGGAGGAGAGGGAGGAGGCTTGGAGATGGAAGCAAGTTTGTTTCTGTAGCAATCTTAATTTTAGTCTGAAATCACTAGGCCTCCCTCACCAAGGTGCCCACTCTCCTTCTTTTAGACACTTGAAACACTTCTGAGTATGGGGCCAGCTGATGGCATAATGGTTGTATCACTGGCCTCCCACATAGTTCACTGCAGTTTAAGTCCCAGACCCAGTGGCTTAAAACTCATGCAGGGTGAATGTGCATGCATGCCCAAAAGCCTGAGAGAATGGAGAAGGAATGGTGGCGTGGCTATCCCCCTCAAGGGGTGATTTCTCACTTTCTGTCTGTCTCTCCATATCTCTCTGGCAAGTGCACACGCCCCCCAAAAAAATCTCTCTTAAAAACAACAAAAAACCCACTTCTGAGTATCAATTCAGTGATTCAAACACACTGCTTCACAGTCATCGGGCCTCACTCTGTCCCTTGGGGAACCCCAGGGCACTCTGCAGCCTACTTTTGTGGCCTCAGGGCCAAGGCAGGAGATGCCGGGGCAACATGGAGCTAGGGAAATCCCGGTACTAACTGGTACTCACCCTGGGACTATCCTGAACATCAGGGCTCCAGGGTCCCAGGGCTCCAGGGCATGGTCTCAGTCACCGCCATTCTCTGTGTGAGTTTCCTCTACTCAATACAAACTAAGGCCACCAGACACGCCTGACCCCAACTCGGGGAGAGTTTCAACTTCTCGCTCAAGTTGTTTGAAAAATAGGCAGAAAGATGGGACCAGCAGATGGTGTAATGGTTATGTCACTAGACTCCCATGTAGTTGACAGCGGTTCAAGTCCCAGACCCAGTGGCTTAAAACTCATGCCAGGCGCGTGTGCGTGCGTGCCCAAGATCCCGAGAGGAGAATGGAGGAGAAGGGATTGCAGTGTGGCCATCCCCCCTGGGGGGTGATTTCTCACTTTCTGTCTCTCTATCTCTCTCTCTCTTTCTGGCAAGTGCATGCACAACAATCTCTCTTAAAAAATATATATATGTGTGTGTGTGTGTATATATATATATATATTTCTGCCTTGTATATATATGTATATATTTCTGCCTATATATCTAGATGTATATATATATATATATATAGGCAGAAATAATTCAGTGCAGGTAAATATGGGCCCTTCCACAGAGGCCAGAATGACCTGCTCTTGGAAGAACATAGCCACTCCATCGGGACCATCAACCCAGAGAGAGGAGAGAGGCAGCCCCGGGACACAGACTATATAGGGCAGGGGGTCCCTACTGGGGCCTGTGGGATACTTCCAGAGGTGTGATAGCCACATACAGATGGAGGCTCCTTCGGGTCTTCAAGGTTACAGGGTGATGTGTGGTGCCCTAAAACAGACAAGGTACCCTTGTTCCACTGATGGCTACAGCGATGGTGGAAGGCAGGGCGTGGCTGGTTGCTGTGGCTGCAGACTCAGGTGGGCCCACTGATGAACAGCGATGCCTCCTAAGTGGGTGTGGGTGGGTCTGTCCTGGGTGTCACTGACACACAGCAATGATGAGATGGGGCTAACACCCACACTCTGACCACCCGGGAGCCTTGCTCTCCCTCTGCCAAGAAAGCCTCACCTTTCTTCATCGCTAACAAGCAGTCATGAGAACGGATGTAAACTTTTTCCAAATCGATGACTTGTTCTTTATCACCAGAGGGTGCCTGCACTCACCACAAAGACAGAGACGGAGGCAGAGAAAGTAACGTCCAATGGGGCAATCCCTTCTCCAATGCTCCATCCTGTTGGGATTTGGGGCATGTGTGCGCATACACCTGGCATATTTTTTCAAGCCAATTGAAACCATGTTTGGTCACGTGTGATCCTGCTCCTTAACCTCTAGGCTATGGGGTGGGCTCTCAAATGAGTAAATTCAAACCATCACTAGAAACTGCTGATTACAAGCCCCCTTACCTCCACCAGCAGATGGCTACAATAGTAGCCTATTGTGGTGCGAGTCCTGGACCCAGTGACTTAAAACTCATGCTGAATGTGTGTGCATGCGTGCCAAAAATCCCAAGAGCAGAATGGAGAAGGGACTGCAGCATGGCCATAACCCCTGGAGGGTGCTTTCTCGCCTTTTGTCTCTCTGGTTTCTGTCTCTCCAGCAAGGGCACGTGCCCTATAGCAAAAAAACAAAAACAAAAACAAACAAACAAACAAAACCAAAAAAAACAAAAAACAAAAAAACTCTCTAATAAAAAAAGTGCTCCTAACGGAGCCCACAGGTGGCATGGTGGTTACGGTGCTAGACTCCCACATGGCCAATCACAGTTTGGATCCTGGACCCAGCAGCTTGCTTTCCCACTTTTCCTTCCTCTCTCTCTGATCAAATAAAAAATAATGATAACAAAATTAAACTAATAAATAATTCTTTAAAAAAAAACTAACCTAACAACTAGTGTTTGGTGTCCCAACCATATCCCTTTGGGTCTCACTGTGATGCAGGCAGACCTAGCTCCACCCTGCCCGAGGACATTTTCTGGGGGCAGAGCCAGGGAATTGATGCATCCTGGGTGCAACCCACCAGCGCAGACTGAAGAGAGTGGGCAGGTAAATAACACAGTCCCCTCTGCCCTCAGGTGAGGTATTTCAGAGGTGACTGTGGTGCACTGATACCCAGAGGCGTTGAGCTCCCTCGCTGCCCTCTTACTGGACTTGATAACATACCCGTAGGGGTTGCCTCCCCTTCCTGCATCACGTCCCACATAAACCACACCTAATCCTTGTCTCAGACCTGGCTCCTCAGCGACCCACACCAATCTGCCATGTGATGCATGTTTTGGTAGAGGAGGCAAGCTCCACCACGCAGAGGCGGCACATAGACCGAAGGCCCTGCCATGGTGGTGCCGCAGTAGCACAAGCCTCTGCAATGCCGGGAGCCATGTGGAACGCTGGCACTCAGTTCCCGGGTCAGTCTGCACGCACCAGGTGTATGTGTGCGCACGGTGATCCTGGCTGGCTGGGAAGGCTGGAGGGAGGCTCGTGGCATGAGACCCTGTTGCAGGTGCTTATCTGTCTTTCTCTCTCATAAAAATGAAAATAAATAAACATTAGAAGGGAAAAAAAAAAAAGAGAGCAAGAGAGAGACATAGAGGTGAGGTGGGAGACGAGATGGAGACCCCTAAGAAGGCTCTTAGGGAGATCCTGACCATGAATGCTCAAGACACAGCTCAGGGACTGTACTCATCATTCACACAAAAGGAGAAATTACACAGCCAGAGCTTTTAATTCAAAATACAAAGACTGGTTCTTCCCAGCCAGACCTCTTGCATGGACCGGCCAGTACCTTCTCTCTCTGCAGATGAGGGGAGCCCATGACTATCTTATCTCCAGTCTGCCTACTGGGCAAGGCCCTGGCACAAAAGGAATCCCCCAGCTGAACAGCCGATGCACTTCTGAGCTGTGGCGGGACTGGCCAACGAAATCCCTGCTGTTATTGTCTCAGTGGTGCAAGGTCAGGGGCCAGGCCCTATCAGCAGGTGAGCACAGGTGCTTCACCCTGAGGGGAGTCTGAGAGATCCCCCCCTTTTTTAAAAAAAGAATTAATTTTGTTTATTTTGATTTGACCAGAGAAGGACAGAAAGGTGGGGGGATGAAAAAGCAAGCTGCCAAGTCCAGGACTTGAACCATGGTTGGCCATGTGGGAGTCCACCACGCCATCTGCCGGCCCCTATGAGTAGATTTTTGAGTGATAGCCTCACAAGTTATTCCTTTAACAAGGTAAGGTCAGGCAGTGATGCAGTAGAAATGCAACTGGACCCACATGAGAAAGGTCCTGGGTTCGACTCCTGGGACCTTTCAGGGCACAGCAAGGATGTGCCTGTGATCTGAGCTGGATGAGGCTAGAGTGGGTCACAGCATCAAGAACTGGCTGGGAGTACATCTCTCTGCTGTCTCAAGACTTGGACTGCCTTTGAAGAGCAGTGACCTTCCATGGAGGAACACCGTCAGCTATGGGCAACAGCTGGAAGGCAGCTGCTCCAGGGACGCCCACCATTTCTGAGCGCTGCGAACGACGATGACCGCTGCAGACCTGAGACCCCTTTTGTGCTGTAATGACCGTGGGTGTGGAAAGAGATGGGCTGAGTTCCAGGAAGCCCCTCCCTGTCACCCCAGTACTATTGGCTACTGGAGTTGAAAGAAGGAGGGGTCAAGGACAAGCATGGCTGCCATAATACGGAGGAGTCTGAATAAGGCAGGGCAGCTCTAGGCTCACGACACTCTGATTCCACTAACCTGAGTACAAGCACGGCACCGCCTCACCCTGCCCAGCTCCTTTCTTCCAGCTTGTCCGTCCACTTGTCCTGGTGTGACAGCTCATCAGCATGAGGGCAGGCAGGGCGGGAGGCTGATGCCACTCCTCCCCTGGCTGTGTCCAACCTCTGCTCTCCCTCCTTGTCCCTTCAGGGAGCCCCATCCCAGTGGAGTCAGCGGGGCCAGGCAGCACTAAATTCCTTCTCCAGACCTTGGACGAACTGGTCATTGAGGAAGAGCAGCTGACCATGAGGCAGGAAGCGAGTGAGGATGCCCTCGATGCGGTCGGCCCGCAGCAGGAGGCTGGAGCTGGGGGCCAGCAGTCGGAGGTGGTCAAGGAGACGTGCCAGCAGACGGAGTGTGCCTTCAGCCAGCAGCAGGTTCTCGTGGGTGTCCAGTATGAGGGCAAAGCCTAACGAAAGCACACCCAGCCACACCACCGTCCGCGGCTCCCGGAAGGGGTCCCCTGCGGCCAGGCGGAAGGCCCCATGTGGAGCCTCGTGCAGAGGCACCGGCTCATCTGAGGACTGGGGCTGCAGGTCCACGGGGGGCCGGCCGGATGCCTGCTGTTGCAGCCGGCACATTGACTCCACCTGCCTGAGAGAGCGCACAGTCAGGCTGGTAGGTGACAGGCCGGGCAAGGCCACTGCAGCAGTCCATACCCCAACTCCTGTCGTCCTTGAGACCACCCCTGGAGCTGGGAGCTGCCACTGTCCTCATATCTCAGGTGAGGAAATGGAGGCCCAGAAACACTTAAGTGACCTGCACAGGATATGCGAGTGGGGATGGGAAACCAGACCCCAGCTCCAGGTCCTGAACCACTTCACTCCACGTGGCCAAGAGAAGGCAGGTTTTGAACAGAGCTCCTTGGGCTGGAAAAGGGTAACAAGGGAAGATCCCACCCCCACCTGCTTCACAGATGCTTCCCAACATAAAGGAAGGCAAGTGACAAGAGGAGAAAAAGATGCCATCACTCAACCTGGGCTATGCAACTTCTCCACCCTCTTCCCATCCTACGACTCTCTCCAAGTAAAGGAAAGATCTTCCCCTTGGGAGGTTTCTGAAAGCTCATCCTGACCCTTCCTGAATTACCTTCCAGTTTGGGATGGTAGGAGCTGACAAAATGTTGTCTCAGAGTGGAACACCCCAGCCTGAGTGCAGTGGGGGCCAGGAGACTCTGGCACCTGCCAGCTCCCTCTGGGTCTGGGATGGGAGGGCCCAAGGCTGGCCAACTTAGTCTGTAATAGTGTCCACACTGTGCTCTGGATCCAGGCTTTCAGAAGGCCCTGAGTATCGTGTCCCCCTATACCACATTTTCTCTTTTCCTTCCAGATTCATACTAAAGGCCCTGTGAAGTCTTACCTGCAAAGCATTTTATCACTCGGGTCTGCCTGCCTATACTCAAATGTCAGTTCTGATACTCTGTGGCTGCATAACCTTGGGCGCTTGAAGTTTCTGCAATATTCTGTATCTCAGTTTACTGCACTATAAGATGGAGATAACCATACCTACCTCAAAACATAGTTACTGATGAACTAAGTTAATATACATGAAACATTCAGAACATAAACGCTTAGCACACACTTACAGGTTTAAAAAAAAAAACACAACAGGAACCAGCAGATGGCATAATGACTATGTCGCTGGACTCCCATGTAGTCGACTGTGGTTCGAGTCCTGGACCCAGTGGCTTAAACTCACGCCAGCCACATGTGCATGCGTGCCCAAGATCCCAAGAGAAGAATGGAAGAGAAAGGATTGTGGCATGGCTATCCCCCCTGGGGCGTGATTTCTCACTTTCTGTTTGTCTCTCTCTCTCTCTCTCTCTCTCTCTCTCTCTCTGTCTTTCTGGCCAGTGCACGTGCCCTGTAGCAAAAACCTCTCAAAAAAAAAATACACAGCACACTCATAATAGTAATAGCATTATTAGGCTCAGCCGGTGGTACACTCAGTAGGATACCACTGTGTGACACTGGAGCTATATGAGAAGGCCTGGGGTTCAGATCCCAGGTTGACTTGAAATGTCAGATGCCATCATGATCTTAGCCTGCTGGAAAGCTGGAGGAAGGGGGATCGCAGTGTGGAAATATCTTGTCAAGGGTGTCTCTCTCTTTCTCTCTCATACTAAATAAACAAATGAGGGACCACCAGTTGGCATAATGGCTATGTTGCTAGACTCCCAGGTAGTCGACTGCAGTTCCAGTCCTGGACCCGGTGGCTTAAACTCATGCTAAGAGTGTGTACGTGTGTGCCCGAGATCCTGGGAGGAGAATGGAGGAGAAGGGATTGCGGAGTGGCCACCCCCTCGGGGGGTGATTTCTCGCTTTCTGTCTCTCTTTCTAGTGAATGCATGTGCCCTGTAGTAAAAACCTCTCCAAAAAAAAAAAAGAATAAACCTTAAACAAAAAGAATATCATTATTTCCTTAACCCTTTCTCATTTAACACTTATGAAAGACTGTGGAAGATTTTGGAAAATGCCACTCTAAAACTTTCAGCACCCTAGTGCTTCTGTTTCCCTGAGTCCCCAAGAATACCCATCACAATTGGGCATGTGTTGATGGAGGTCAGTTACCTGGCCACGGCCAAAATCTGTTCCTTGCGGAGAAGTCTGTCCCTCTCAGCACCGTGTGGCCGTGGGTCATCGGGTGACTTCTCAGCACCAAAGACACAGGAGTAGAGCACTCTACAAAGACCCTGGTCCTCAGCATGCGGGGCTCTCAAGGTATGGATGAGGAAGGCGTACACCATGGCTCCGGGGCAGTTGCTTCAGGGAAGCCAGGGACCTGGTGAGTGAGAGTGAAACCGTAACTGGGAAGTACCCACCAGCATGGTGCGGACAATGATCCTCCTCACCCACCCAAGATGCACTCCAGCCTATGAAACAGATCCAGTCAGCATCACAAAACAGAGCCCAGTGGTAAAAAAAAAACCTGCCTTGACAAAACAAATGGCTAGGATCCTGATCTTCAAAATCGTCCAGGTCATGAGAGTCCAGGAAAACCTGAGAAACTGTCCCAGACTAAAGGAGACTAGAGTTCTGACTGCTGAATGGAACGGGAGTTCTTTTTTTTTTTTTTTTTTTGCTACAGGGCACGTGTGCTTGCCAGAAAGACAGAGACAGAGAGATAGAAAGCAAGAAATAACCCCCCAGGGAGATGGCCATGCCGCAATCCCTTCTCCTCCATTCTCCTTTCGGATCTTGGGCACGCATGCACACGTGCCCAGTGTGAATTTAAGCCACCAGGTCCGGGACTCGAACCACAGTCAGCTACATGGGAGTCCAGTGACATAGCCATTACACTAATTGCTGGTCACTGGAACAGGAGTTCTTAGACTAAGAAAAAGGTAATCTGCATTAGGAGCATTATTAGAATGCCTGAAAACATTTAAATATGAAATATGCTATAATAGTCATGGGGGGCTAGCAGGAAGTGTGGTGGTTAAGGGCACTGGACTCCCACATGGCCAACGGCGGTTCAAGTCCCCAACCTGGTGGCTTGCTTTCACTCTCTGTCTCTCCCTGGTTAAATTAAAATAAATAAATAAATAAATAAATAAATAAATAAATAAATAAATGTTACATAAGGGGCCGGCAGGTGGTACGATGGTTAAGGAACCACATGTCCGACCACATGTCTGACTGCGGTTCAAGTCCTGGACCTGGCAGCTTGATTTCTCACTTTCGCTCACTCACTCTGTACCTCTCTGGCAAAATTAAAATAAAGTTAGATAATTCTTTAAAAAATAAATAAATAAAAATAAATCTTAAAATAATTTAAAAGAAGAAAAAGAAAAGTCTTGGGATCAGCAGATGGCATAACAGTGACATTGCTGGACTCTCGCTTAGTTGACCACGGTTGGAGTCCCAGACCTAGAAGCTTAAAACTCATGCTGGGCACATGTGAGTGCATGCCTAAAATTCCCAGAGAAGAGACTGCAGTATGGTCATGGGGTGAGGGAGAAGGGTGATTGCTCGTTTTGTCTCTCTCTATCTCTCCCCCTCAGCCCACACATCCAATAGCAAAAATCTCTAAAAAAAAAAAAGTAGAAGAAAATAGTCTTGGGAACCAGCAGTTAGCGTAATGGCTATGTCGCTGGACTCCCACGTAGTCGACCGCGGTTCACGTCCCGGACCCGGTGGCTTAAATCTCACGCCGGGCGTGTGTGCGTGCGTGCCCAAGATCCCGAGAGGAGAATGGAGGAGAAGGGATTGCGGTGTGACCATCCCCCCTGGGGGGTGATTTCTCGCTTTCTGTCTCTATGTCTCTCTCTGTCTGTCTGGCGAGCGCACGCGCCCTATAGCAAAAAACCTCTCCAAAAAAAAAAAAAGAAAATATTCTTAATCAGGGACAGTATGTGGCATGTTGGTTGAGGTCTGGACTCCCACGTGGCTGACAGCGGTTGAATACAGCAGACAGATCTTCAAACTAATGCCAGGGAGTGTGCCTGCCCAAAACCCCAAGAGAAGAATTGAGGAGAAAGGATGGCAGAGTGGCCATCCCCCCTGAGGGGTGACTTCTTGCTTTCTGCCTCTCTGGCAAGCGCGCACACCCTACAGCAAAATCAAGAAAAAGAAAGAATGAAAAGAATGAAAAGAGAGAAAAGAAAGAAAGGAAGGAAGGAAGGAAGGAAGGAAGGAAGGAAGGAAGGAAGGAAGGAAGGAAGGAAGGAAGGAAGGAAGGAAAAGAAAATAAAAGAAAAAAGAAAAGAAAAGAAAGGTCTTGATCAACGTTTACCTCATTATAAATGCAGGACCAATTCCTTGCCACGGATGTACCTCTAAACATACAAGTAAAGGGGTACCCGTCACATCTGCAACTCAGATGTCCAAGGAGAAAAGGTGTACAGAGGAGGGAGAATATGACAACACGAATAGGGCAAACGATGCTAACTTGTCTTATGAAAGGATGTACAAGAGTTGTTTGAAATCATTCCGAAATAAAAGCTAATAATAACGCTATCTGGCTGGCTCAGAGGCCGCCTGTGACACTTCCCGCGACCCTCCGGCCGCTGGCAGAGCGCGTCACCAGCTCTCGCCACCACGTCCCCCACCTCCATGGAAATGCAGCGGCCAAGACCACTTCCGTCACCGCCTCCCGCAACCCGCGGCGCAGTGCACTTCGGGGGTTGTAGTTCCTTACTCGGGTCAGTCTGGCCGAAGCCCGGCACCCCGCCCGGAATGTGCTGCACCTGCCGTACTGGCCGTGGTCGTCGAGACCGCCCGCTCCGCCTTCCTACTAGTCCCGCAGATTTCTAGCAGGCTGACCCACTCCGCTGCAGGACAGCGATGGCGTCCGCGCGGCACGTGGGCGCCTGCGCACACCCGTCGCGAGCGCGCGCACGGCGGAGGCGTCGGGGGGGGTGGGGCCTACACTCTTGGCGGCGCTTGGTGGGCCGGGCTCGAGCTGTGGCTCCCGAGGCCTGCAGCCTGGGCGCGGTCGAGCTTCGCCCCCGGAGCGCAGGCCCGCCTGGCACTGAGCTCCGGATCAGGGCAAACGAGATCCTGGCTCGAAGCTTGGTCCAGCCGAACCGGGCAGCCGCGAGGGGGCGCAGCGGACTGACGGCCTCCTAGCGCGTGGACTTTTCAGAAGAGGCCGGTGGTCAAGTTGTCGCCAGAAGGAGGGATTCACTCCCTTGTTTCTTCCCCTTGTTACCCGCTGGCCTTTAGAGGCTCGTGGGCTGCGGGTGGACCCAGGCTTGGGCCCAAGGTGCATGGTTGAGCGCTTAGACTATATGCGAGAATCACCCGGGCATCTGTTAAGGTTTAGGTTCCTAGGCTTTCCCGCTGGAAAGAAAGACTTCAGAGGAAATAAGCGTGGTGGGAAAGTTTTGAATCCATTCTGGCTTGTGATCTCCTGCAGTGGGTTAAGACAGGGGCTGGAGGAGCCGGCAGATGGCGGTGGTTTAGGGCGCTGACTCCCACGTGACTGACTGCAGTTCGAGTCCCGGACCTGCCTGCCTCCTTGCTCACTTTCCTTGTCTCACGTTCTGTCCCTCTCTGGTCAAAATTAAAATAAATTGGGACCAGCAGTTGGAGTATGGCTATGTCACTGGATTCCCATGTAGTTGACCGCGGTTCCAGTCCCGGACCCGGTGGCTTAAACTCTTGCCGGGTGCAAGTGAGCCCAAGATCCTGAGAAAAGAATGGAGGAGAAGCAGTTGTGGCGTGGCCATCCCCCTTGGGGGTGATTTCTTGCTTTGTGTCTCTCTGTCTCTCTGTGTCTTTCTGGCGAGCACACGTGCCCTATAGCAAAAACCTCTCCCCCCCAACAAAAATAAAGTTAAATAAAGTAATTCTTTTTTTGAGAGGTTTTTGCCATAGGGCTCGTGCGATCGCCTGAAAGAGAGACAAAGAGTGAGAACCACCCCCCCCACCCCCCAGCCC